ATAATTTTGTCTGTGTTATATGTCATTGTCCCCAGATTGCTATTAGAAATGCTCCATAAGTTATCATTACCAACCAACAGATTACAAATCCAACTGGTCATAAAATTTCAGCAAAAAAAAGTCAAAGAGTCAGGTATAAAATACTCTTCCAATAAACTCAAGCCCTATGGGGATGAGGGTTTTGTGCAGTTAAACTTTATTCGTAAATGAACAAAGAGGCTAATTTTCACGTGTGAAAAAACACAAACCTGCCAGGTCAGAAAGGAGCACGCTCACATATTATCAAGGCTACCCTCTTTTTTTGGCCAGAAAAGAATTGCAAACAAAATGCATATATCTTGAATAACCAATACTTTTTCGTGCAAAATGAAACCAGCGAGTCGCGACCCCATTTCGAGAAATTGAGCCAACATAGAAAGTGATTACTGTTCTGCATTTAGATGTGCAGGTACAATGATCACATGACAATAACCATGAAGTTCTTTGGAAATGGGACTGATTAAAATCAAAAAATTTGAGCTTAATATTGAATGTCTTAGGTGCTTGATTTAGACTGCATGAGACCGACTGCATGACTATCACAGGAGATTGATCTGAAATGCTTTGGAAACAGAATTCAAGAGAACCATAAAAAACCTTTTAGAGTTGCACCAAATTCTGCTAAAATTTGGGAGACTTTCATTGCTAAGCCGAACAGAGAGGTCAAGAAAACATTTCTTTGAGATTTGGAAAAGGTAAGAAGTTAATTGAAGAAGAAAGAGATCTCACCACAGTCATGATTATAAAAGGATGGAAGCATATAAATGGCATTGCCTACAGCTCCTTCTGCTTCCACTGAAGCTGCTGCTGAAGAAAGAAGATCTTCATATGATTCACAGGCCAATTCAACTCTAAAAGCATTGATGCGTATACGTGCCAATACACCAGTATACCATTGTTTGGTCAGAACTATAAAGTCAAAGATATATGGCCTTTTGGACCGAAGGATGCGGGACACTACATTTCAAGTAAGAAAAAGAATAGCAAAGCATCAATAAACACAAGCCCTGGCAGAAAACATTAGCTGTTTTCTGCCACAGGAGGATACAAGCCAGCTGCTGAGTGTTTATATCTGCATCTTGGAAAGTGCTTCTAAGCAAGCAGAATTCCTTTTCCACCTGTAAACACGTGGCAGCAGAGTTTAATTTATTACTTCCAAATGCCAGCCAGAAATATTTTTTGTAACTTAAAGGAGGTTTCTAGGAAGGACAATGTGGTACACTTATTTGAAAACATACAATCCCACTATGTAATCTTTACACTTGGAGTTTAGGTTTCCAATGTTCAGCATCCCCAAGAGACTTTGATGAATAAGCAGTTAAAGTTATTTTGCAAAGGCATTAAGAATGGAACAGATAGATTCTTAGTCAACCTGTAATCATTGAACATCTTAATGCTGGAGTAGACCTTTATATTAAGTAGCAGAAAATACAGAACGAATTTGAATAAGTGCAAGATAAGGTTACCAGAGAAATCATTTCAGAAGATAAACTAGCTGGCTGAAGAATGTCAAGACTACTTGCAGATGAAGATCCAGATATGACAAGGCAAGCATACCGCTTCACTAGCAAAGGATATTTAAGACCATGCATCCTTGAAGAAAAGACAAACAAACAGAATGAGATACATTAAGCTCAGGCCATTTAAACAAGCTTTCTGATTGCAGAGCAGACTAATAGCCTTTTCAGAAGAAAACACAATACACACATACGGTGACTCTTTAGTGCAAATGTGCCTAATGAAAAAGCATGTGATTGTTAAAGTGGCCAAATGAAGCCAAAAGGTAGAAATCATGGTACCAGGAAGCAAATTTTTAACTTCTGAAGATTTTGTTTACCCTTGTCACATAAAGGCATCATACAATATGACAAAATTTTCAATGCTACAGTCTGAAAAATGCTAGTATCAACAAAAAAGTGGACTAAAAATTTTGAAAAAAATAAAAAAAGAGGTCACACTTGACTCATGAAAGTCTAGGTCCAGAATACAGACGAAAAAAGGTGTAATTACAAAATTCATACCGGCAATAGTCATTAAAGGTTGACCAATCTGCTCTCCTCTCAATCTCGTGAAAAACCTAAAAGAAAGATGTTTAAAAATGGAAAATGTAAGTCAACACACTCAAGGTCGAAGATGAAAAAGAATTGACCTAAAAAATTTAGATAAAATCGTAAGAGCATGCATAAGATACATCTTAAGCTTAGCTTGGAACTAAGTCTGCTAATACAGTAAAAAACAAGTCAGCAAAAGCTGAGCATCAGTAATATATCAATGCACACATAATCTTCTGGATCAAGCAGCTAAAGTCGAGAAAGACTTAATAAGATGCTGTCAACTTGGCCCCCATCAACTAGTCACTTCTCCAAGTCATGCAGCTTTCTTCTTTATCTTTAAAAGTTAACTCTGTGATTTGATTAATTACTTCATTTATGAGGTATAAGGCGAAGACGTCATACGAATTAAACAGGAAGAGAAAGGCAAAGATCAAATATGACCGCTTTCTCTGACATAAATCCGAATTTCCCTCTAAATATATCACGCATCAGAAGATGACCCATTTCGTCGGGAACAAAATATCAAACACCTAGTGAACAGTCCATTTGCAAAAACGCTTCTGCTAAAGTTGCGGCTCATCATATCAAACAGTCACAAAAAAACCCATAATCAAAACATGCGTGCACGTTCAAAGTCAAATTGAAGCAATGGAATTACGTGTTAAAATCGTATTACTACAGCAACAGCGCACCTGCGATTGGTTTTGGCACTCTTGGCTGCAAAACTGGACATCGTTACTTTGGAAAAGGGGTCGTTGATCGGGAAGAAGCTTTCTAAGGCAGAAATAGCAGACGCTATGGAGAGAAGATAGAGAAGGATGACAAACAATGGGCTTGGCGGTGTGAATGAGCTCACCGGCAGCGATTCTTCGAGTGGCAAACACGCCTCTGCCGGCAGAGTCGGTGAATCCGACTTGAATAGGAGGGGGTGCAGAAGGACGACCCGGCTGCGAACTGTCGTTGTCAGCAGCACCGGTTCCGGCGGTGGGAGCGGTGGTTGTGAAGGAAGAGGAGAAGGTGAGGAGGAAAGGCGGTGTTTTGTAGTCGTTTTTCAGACGGGGGAGGAAGATTTTGAAGCGGGATGCCCAACGGCTACCTCCCCGTAACATTTTTTGGCGGTAAAATCCGATTCTGTGACGAATTCCTTCTGGGACTCGTTTGACGAATTACTTTAGGGCCGGATTGATGGGCCACTCTCTATGTCGGTTGCCACTCATTTGACCCAATTGAGTTTGGGTCTCTGGCTCTAAAATTCTAAATCCTTCGAAATTTTGACCAATAAAATCAAGTAAATCTTTCATGCATTCGACTCATAATGTCTAGATATATGCAACATATATAAAATTTGATATTTAAAATTTTTCAAAAGTTTCCACTCAAAAAAATTTTTTTTTTGACAACGGCAACAATCTACTCTACTTCTAAAGTAACCTCTACTATAGAGAAGAGATATTCAAAGGTGCTTGTATGGAGACTGAGAGGTGAACCATCAAACCAGACAGGCGCACTTAAATTTGTTTAAATCCTATTTCGCACGCTAGTTTGGTAAATGCATACAACTATGTGTTTTTGAACATTGGCTAGCTTAATTACGATTAGGTTTGTTATATACACAAAATCGTGCTAGTTATGATGGCATACCCTATGTTTTTTGTTATGTGACAAAATTAAATTATTTACTATTGAAGCTAATTTATGATGATTCAAAATTTTTATTTGTAAAAAAACTATTTCACCAAAATTAAGTTCACAAAACCAAATCATGTCCTTCTGTTTTTAACTAATTTCCTTTCCTATAATGTCAAGTTATAGGTGGAGTAGGTGTTGGCACTCTTCTTTAGGCCCTGATTTTATTTTATGTTTTTTAAGTGAGAGATCTTCTATTTGGAACCTTTAGGGATTCTATGGTAAGAAGTAGCCAATTATACGCAGACAATTCAACACAACTGTCTAGTTTTAGTCATCAAGCCACTGCCCATAGACAGTTATATGTTTGTTTGTTTTTGGCCGGAGGACAAGTTAATCAACTGGATTTCATTTTCTTTCTAGTTTGCACGTCAACATGTATACTTCACCAATTGCAACTTTAAGGAAAAGGGATATCCCATCTAAGGATCAAAATCTTGTTAATTAATGTTTCAGCTAATGAGCTTTTCATAGTAAATCTTTAGTGATGCATGTATAAGCAGCCTTGTCTTTTTAGATCTTAATTTAACGGCTTCGTCTTTTTTTTTTTCTTTTTTTAAACAGTCGATAATAGCGTACTCTATACCTACTCCTACTCTAACCTATTCTAGAGGGCGACCCAACTGAACCTATAGAAGGCCGACGGGGACTAAACCACTATCGGATCAGACGGGTGCACTACACATCCATTTAGATTTGTGAAGAGCCACATACTGTGGCAATTGGTGGGATGCTAGAAAGCCTTAATGGCTTGACGGTGGCCACCACCCTTTGGGCTGGTGGTTTTAATTTAACAGCTTAGTTAACACTGCTTGAAAATTGTCATCGGTCTCTAGTTATTTTGTAGTATTTGCACTTGGCGAGTTTCCTCTGTCCAAGGCCAAAACTGAAAATAATCCAGACTGCAGCTATATGCTGAACTTGTCATGTTTACCTGTGAAAGTGGACGGCAAACCAGTTCCTCAAAAGACAATCTTTCATTGTATATACGACTAGTTTTGAAAGAGATTGTGTTGATTTGGTCATGGAAAGCTCCAAATCAATTTGTGATTGAATGGAAACTTTCTGGCAAGGGCCTGCCGCTCTGCTTGATTAATTGGTGGATATTCATCAAGATTGGTTCAAGAACACTGCATCAATAATTGCTATAAATAGGCAGTAAAGTGGCTATGCTTAAGCATGACTCAAAAACACTTCTTCCCTGACTAGCTCTCAAAGCAGCACAATTTTCCTCCAATTTGATTAAATTGTCAAGCCTGTTTGCAATGGCGAAAACCTGCATCGTTTTCATCACTCTGATGGCCCTCAGTTTCTCCCTCCTTGCTTCGGCATTTGATGAGCAACCACTGCAAGATTTTTGCGTCGCGAAAGCCACTAGCCCAGGTACCTACAATATTACACTTCATATAAATATGATCCTCCACGCATTGGCACATTTGATCCAGGAATTAAGTAGCAGTTTAATTACACATAACCCTTCCCTTTGAGGTTTTAACACCTTTTCCATCTTATAATAGCCAGGCGCAGCGTTAATTAGGGGTGTAAACCAGCTTTTATCGAACCGAATTCGACTCGAGTATCGAGTAGCTTAGTTCGTCTTTCAGGGCTAGCGTTAATTGATATATTCAGTTCGACTGACCTGACTTTTACGTAACTTTCTACAACACTTGCAGTGAATGTGAATGGCAAGACTTGCAAGGAAGCCAGCAGCGTTACCGTAAACGATTTCGTGTTCGCTGGTTTGCACCTCGCCGGCAACACCACAAATCCTGCAGGCTTCAGCGCTACCCAAGTATTTGTTGCTGAGCTGCCAGGGCTGAACACCCTGGGCATCTCCATGCTACGCTTTGATTTTGCGCCATGGGGGCTGAACGCACCTCACGTTCACCCCAGAGCCACTGAAATGATCACTGTTCTTGACGGAGCTCTCGAAGTCGGCTTCATAACTTCAGCTCCTGATAACAAGCTTTTCGTCAAGGTCCTTCAAAAGGGCGACGCCTTCGTCTTTCCTGTGGGACTTGTCCACTACCAGCGAAATGTCGGCTATGGAAATGCTGTCGCCATTGTTGCACTCAACGGCCAAAATCCTGGTCTGGTATCTGTTCCAAGCACCGTCTTCGGATCAAACCCAGCCATCCCTTCTGACGCTCTGGCCAAATCATTCCAGATTGACGAGAGCACTGTGGAAGTGATTCGGTCCAAGTTCTAGGCTAGCCGAAGTGGGAGTCATGAACTGTGACCAATTACGCAATTCCTTCATACTATGAATTGGAGTTCAATTTCAAGATTTATTAAAGGGGCTTATAATTGAATTCATGGAGGGAATACTACTAGTTTTTTTTGAAGATTTATGCAAGACTTTGTTGTCCTGATAATGCATGAACGGTTGTCAGCAGTGAAATTATTCCCCCCCAAGAGAAAATCTAAAATTTTCCTTAAAAACAATTACCATAAAGATCAGGAGGACAAGGTAATGGGAAAAAGTAGACTTACACATATATCAAGCACTTAATTGAGTACAATCATTTGTATACACAAAAGAGAGGGTCGGCCTCGGCTTCCGATCCTCATAGTATTCTTGGTCAATAATGTTAAAACACTAGCATTCAAGGAAAAATCAATTAATTAAGCACCACAATCGAAGTTACAAAAAATGATCTTCAATCTCGTCCATCGACAGTCTTCATTGATGCAATGGTGATATCCAGTCAAGGTTTTCCTCTGGATAGTCTTTCTGCAGTTCTTTTGGAGAAATGAAGCAGTCCATAGAAAGGCCGGGGACATTGAAAGCAATATCATCAATGGTCCATGTTTCTTCCATTCTCGTGAAGGAAGGGCCAAACTTCAGATTGTCTCCAAACCTTGTGATGATTACAGTAGATTGACCTGAATGTGCAATCTTAACTCCCTCGACGCTCCGATAATCTTCCATTTTGGTAGCCATTGTGGTTTCCCAATACGAGGGGAGTGAGCCAGGTGACTGTATTCTGGTCAAGTACGAGTCCTCTAAATAGATAAGCAAGCCACTTCTCTGGCTGAAGTATCCAAAGACTGCATGCTTGATCATCTCTGCTGTGTTATCGCTGCGCTCGACTAGGTCCGTATGGTTGGCGGACAGTTTTAGCACAAAGCAATCAACTCCAAATATTTGCTTTTCTCCCATGTACTCCGCTTGCGAGAAGATGGTAGATATAGCCACAGGGTCTAGTCCCTGAATAGCCAGTTGATGTTAATTCTTATTTTTCACATGAAAAAACCACCCATATTGTATCACAGACACAAAGAGCTTAATTCCAGCCTGAGTATTCTAACTCTTGGCAATTGAAACTGTTAAGAGATTGAAGAATTTCCACTTTTTTCTGAACAGTAAATATCTTTTCTGGGCTCGGGATAGTAATTATCTCAGGATTAGAAATGGAGTTCATTATCTACCAGTAGTATATATTATCCAAAAGTGCGAGTGTGACTACTTACACGAAGGATCAAGAACATGTACTAAAAAGTCCCATAAAGGCAAAGCAAAAACCCATGCTGATGTTGGGCTCCCATGCCTTCTACTAATAAGAAGGGAATATTCCACATCAAAGTAAGTGCTTTAGATGGTGTTACGTTAGCAAAAATAGCAAAATGGGGACAAGGCAACATGGAACCTCTAGCTATCAAGTGACAGTAGAGAAATATCCATAATCTTAGTACAGATGAAATACACAGGACAAAGAATACGAAAGGCAAAGATCAAAGATGATAAAAACGAATAACTGATCAGTCCTTTTCATTAATGCAATGAATTCAGGGTGATGGGGCATTTCTTGCCTGGAAAGATCGGCGAAGAGGACGGGCGCCACCCTTAGCAGCGTGGACACCTAGCCAAGGGGTGTGGCGCCAGGCCAAATGGCCATCGCTACCGGCTACAACTTTGTGACCCGCAACAGCTAGCTCAATTAGCCACTTATTAGGCAGCATTTGCCACATAACAAAGCAACCTTTTTGTAAAGCAGCATCGGATACATTTGCAGCTGAGGCAGAGGCAGCCAAGCCCCCTCCTAGCTGATCATGGTCCACCATTGCCATTGCAACTTTTCCCGTGGCATAAATATTCTTCACCATCCCTTCTAGCTTTCGGCAGCCAGTTGCTGCCGTAAAATGATGGATTATGTATTGGGCTGATGAGGACACCTAACAAAAACATTTTGAGAAGGCATTTAAGTTTCGTTCTTGAACGAGGGAGGAATAAATGTCTCTCTAGCTACTTGAATCAGACAGCCACATATAAATTAATAATCGGCAAATGAACTCATGGCAATCCCTTTCACAGCCTTAAAATGGCATCTTTCTGATTTATACCATGTGCTATGCCTCTTTAAGAAAAAAAATAAAGAAATCCACTTAATTTTTGTTTGATAAAAATAATGATGGGGAGTGGGAGTCTACTGATCTGTAAATGGCTGTTAACAACAGTTTGGATAGGTAGTCAGTACAACAAAGGTCAAACGTTCACATGGTGACTTCCATGTTATGTAAACACTGGATTTCGATCAATTATGAAGAGGAACAAATGATAAACAATTAACTAATTAAGTTAAAGAAAAACAACAACATAAGACTGACATTTACCATAAACTACTTGCGTAATTTTAGTCATCAAGCTCTTTAAATTATGTAGCACTAACGTTGTGGCCAAACAAATGAAAACATTAGGAGTTTAGGACATTAAACTATTACATGATGGTCAATTAAAACTCCATCGTTACGTGCAGCAAGAAGAAGTAAAGCTAAATGGAAAATTAAAAATCTTTAAGCACCCGGGTTCGATGGCATGATGATCATGTAGCAATGGAACAGAACGCAAAGGAGCACAGATTTCAGAGGGTGATTAAGAAAGGAAAAGAGAAACTCACTTCAGTGATGGGGTGTTTGGGATGAACAGGCAGGGGAAAAAGAGGGCATCCAAGAACACTTAAGAGGAGTCTGAGGTCTGATTTCCTGTTGAAAAGCTGCAGAGAAAAGTGGGCTCTCAACCATTTTCTCCACGTTTGAGCTTTACTAGAGCAGTTCTTGGAGTCTTCTTCATTTACAGGTTCTTCTGATAACGGTGCAAGACGGCTCATCTCTCTAGCTAGCTAGCTAGCTTTTCTCTCGATGGTATGTATGGTGCAGCTAGCTAAATCTTCCTCAGCTAGATAGTGTTAGCTTCCTAGCTCCTGCTGCAGCTTTTCCTTTCTGATTTCGCTTTCTAGGACGGGAACAATGGCTGCAGACAAGAAGTTGAGAATAAAAATAAGGAAAGACAGAAGACAGAAAACAGAAAAGGACTAGTGGGAAGCTGCTGAAGCAAAAGAAACTGTTTGAAAATGAGTAGAGAAGGGAGGAGGAAGAGCACTTTGATTGAGCCACTTTTAGGACATCTGAGGAGATAGAAAGGAGGGAACATCTGGGGCAGCTGCCTCATTACGCACCTGCAAATCCTGCGCGTGATCGTCACTTCTCTCTTACACATCTTAACTAAGATTTAAGAAACATTTTTCATCATATTCAAGTAACAACAATCTTTACATTAAATATTCCACAAGTACGTGAATGTTTTTCTTCTGCAAGTGTATTGGTGTGGGTCAAAGGCGAAAAGTAAGTCCTATGTCGCAATGGTAACCTTTCTTGATTAAATTAAATAGTTTATCCAATAATTATCCAAATTACAACATTGTAAGCCAGTAACACAACACTGAAACAGTTTCTGAGATGTGATGTATGTTAGATAGAAAAGTCGTGTTTATAATGTAATAATTTTTTTTCTATTTTTTTTTTAGGAAAAAGTAACATTTCAAATAAAGCCAATAGACTATTAGTCTAGTGACAAAGGTAAATAAGATTTGGATGACCATAATGCCTGTCTCCAGAATCCAGATTTTAGGAAACGGGGCTAAGATTTGTTGGGATCTTCTTAAACACATATTCTTACCATCAAGATTTGTTTGTATATTATTGAATGGGGCTAAGATTTGTTGGGATCTTCTTGAATATATATTCTTACCATCAAGATTTGTTTGCATATTATGGAGCCAAAAATACAGATACTACGTGTATCTGTACATATAGATTTGCATATGCTGCAGTTTTTATCTTATTCACAAATATGTCGTATCAAGGCATAATGTAAGTAGTGTACCAGCGTATATGTGTCTTTGGTATTGTCATTTCCTTATCATTATGACAAACAAAATAATTTGTACAAGAGAATGAGCATAAAAAAGAAAAAAAAATGTTATTTATACTCCATTTTTTGTTATGTGTACTTCCATCATTCGTTTTTATCATATAGTTTAATAAATGAAAACTATACTATCAAGATGATAGTGAAAGTATGATTAACAAAAATGAGAGTGCAAAAAACGTTTCCCTGAAAACAGATTTCTATGCAACTCAAAGCATATGGGGCATACTAATAGAGGAGACATGTATCTGAGTATGTCTGATTGTGTATGATGCTGTTATTTTATTAGATTACTTGGCCATGAAGCTGCTTTGAAATGTATGGGGGAAGAATGTCCGAATTGAATATATGAATATTCAGGAAAAGATTCATTATTTTGGACCTGTATGCATTTAACTTGCAACATTTCACAGACTGGACCACCAGTTTGAGCATCATCACGAAGCACTTGTAACGGGCAAAAATTGTACTTAAATTTGTGTATTAAGGGGCGTGCGAGGCCCTAATTATTGAGCTTTGATCCATGTGAAGATGATAATGCCTCCACCATGTATAATGCATCAAGCAGTAATGTTTATTGCCGGTAGGGCTTTCCTCTCAAGAGTGGTGTGTCTTAATTGCGGTAATCTTTATATTCTCTAACACTAAAAAGTTTTTATATGGATTTTTACCAGTAAAAATGCCAGTACTTCGATGTATTTTGTAATTGGACATGTCAAAGATACTAGGGCCGCAAATAAGTCGAGTTTAACAGAATAACTCACGAGCTTGCTCGATCGAATATCGAGTTTGAACTCGTATTGATCGAGTTCGAGCTCAAGTTCCAGCTGCTTGAGCTACTTGTTGAGTCGAGTTTGAAATTAATAAATGAAACTCGGAAAGCTCAATCGAGCTCATTTGAGCTTTACATATATATGTTTTTGTTTTAATTTTTTTATTTATTAGTATGAAATGTCTATTTTGTCCCTTATTCAAAATTATATAAAATATAAATTTTTATTTCTTAAATTTGATTAGACTCGATTAAGCTTGATTGATTTCGAAATAAACTAGATTAGACTTATAAGCATGATCTCTAGTAATGCAAAATAAAAT